ATCTAACCAGGAGTTACGTAATTTCACACGTTTGTAATAAGGAAATGTATGACCAGTAGAACATGAATGTAAGAACTTTGCCAAACCCTGAAAATGCATCCTACTAGACAGGAGTGATAGTTTCACACTATTTGAGTCCTCATTTATAAAACATTGATTTAGCTCTGTAAATAGCTTATTTTCTCAGCCACACTAATCATCTACAAACTCTAATAGTCTATGAAAAATATGCACTTAGATATAATTTGATCTTAAGTGTCCACACGTATGTTCCTTAGAAATGATGACATGGTTGGAGTTTATAGCTATTTTTATTATATTTTAGTTCTCTGGTGAGAGAAGACCATATCTAGCCTGGTAAGAATCAATATTCTTTCAAAAATCCTAATTTAGTGAGTTGCATATAACTAAATATGTCAAGTAAGATTCTGTTCTACAGTTTTCACAGAGCTCATCCAAATGTCATGTTTAGTTCTAAGAAACCATGTTTATTTTTATTGTTGAGAGTTATTGAAATAAACTCTATTTTGTCCTCTGAGAGAATTTCTATGCTATAAAAATAAATAAAAATTCTTTTAGTTAAACATTTCCATATTTCTACTAGTTATTACATTATAGTTTTTTTTTAATTTTTTTTAACTTTTATTTAATGAATATAAATTTCCAAAGTACGACTTATGGATTACAATGGCTTCCCCCACATACCGTCCCTCCCACCCACAACCCTCACCTTTCCCACTCCCTCTCCCCTTCCATTCACATCAAGATTCATTTTCAATTATCTTAATAATTTTTTTTTTTTTTTGTTACAAAATAGAGGTGTATTGGAGGAAGAGGACAGGTTACAGGTAGAGCCCTGAAGAAGGTTGGGATTTATCAAGCAGGTGACAGAGGGTGGTGGCAGAGCTAGGTCGTGGCACATTTGCCACAGTTCTTCCCTCTTTCTGAGCCTTGGAAAGACCACAGCAGCCCCCTGTAGGGGATTTTGTTTATTCTGAGGTTGAGGAGGCTGACACTCGGCCCTCCTGACCTGGGAGGGCACCACTGGGACAGGGCTGCTAGAACTCCACAATGCTTCCATTACCCAGAACCCCCTCTTTCTGTGTTCTGTGGCAGTTAGAGGACCACTGTGTCCAGTAACTGCCTGAACTGGGGATCATTTTCTAGACAGGAGGCATGTTTGGCAGATCCAGCTCTACACGTCCTGCTGACTTGGGGACATTTGCTTCCAGGTGGGTGGCCCTGGCCTCTCTGGGCTGCTGCTGAGGGTGATGCTGGCTGAGTCTTCAGTGGTGACCATTGTGGGATGACCATGGATATAGTCATGCCGTTGCTTCCTCAGAGTGACCCTGGAGCGTAGGTGCCTGTGTGTGAGCCTGTGTAAGGACATGGATGTCTGGGCAGGCAATATGGTGAGCACTGAATTCAGGTGTGGGGTGAGCCCATCTGTGAACCCACCAGGCATGTAGTTCCCAGGGAGCCTTCTGCACAGGTGCAGTGATGGTCATGGGAGGACAGCTGGATGGCCAAGGAGGATGAAAAGTGACCTTCCTAGGGAAGTGGGGTGGGGCTATTCATTGTCCCTATCCTCTGCACAGTTCACCATTCAGGGATCTTGGTTTCAGGCACTGCCTGTGGAGCTGATCCCTCTGATCTGATGGACAGGAACTTTGGGGAGCAGTTCCCTGTGGTTCTTTGGGATTGTGTATGCATTAAGTAAAGATTTCAACCGTTTGCACCCCCATAGAAACACAAAGTGAAATATATTGTTTGAGTACTCGTTATAGCATTAAATCTCAATGCACAGCACATTAAGGACCGAGATCCTACATGAGGAGTAAGTGCACAGTGACTCCTGTTGTTGACTTTACCAATTGACACTCCTGTCTATGGCATCAGTAATCTCCCTATGCTCCAGTCATGAGTTTCCAAGGCTATGGAAGCCCTCTGAGTTCTCCGACTCTTATCTTGTTTAGACAAGGTCATAGTCAAAGTGGAGGTTCTCTCCTCCCTTCGGAGAAAGGTACCTCCTTCTTTGAAGACCTGTTCTTTCCTCTGAGTGTCTTGGCTTTCCATGCCTGAAATACTCTCATGGGCTTTTCAGCCAGATCCGAATGCCTTTAGGGCTGATTCTGAGGCCAGAGTGCTATTTAGGACATCTGCCATTCTATGAGTCTGCTGAGTATCTCACTTCCCATGTTGGATCACTCTCCCCTTTATTTATTCTATCGGTTAGTGTTAGCAGGTACTAGACTTGTTTATGTGCTCCCTTTGACTCCTAGTCCTTTCATTATGATGAATTGTGAACTGAAATTGATCACTTGGACTAGTGAGATGGCATTGGTACATGCCACCTTGATGGGATTAAATTGGAATCCCCTGGTATGTTTCTAACTCTACCATTTGGGGCAAGTCAGCTTGAGCATGTCCCAAATGATCAGCATAGCCCTGACTGTTAATGAACAACTTAATACATTATCCCTCTTAGTAGTTTTTTTTGTCTGTTCTACTTAATATGACTGGTTTACTTCTGTAATTAATACACAGTTATTCTTAAGTGTTGAAAATTAACTGAAATGTGATCCCTGTTAAACATAAGAGTAGGAATAAGAGGGGGAAGAGATGTATAATTTGGGACATTATAGTTTCTATGGAGTAATCATACTTATCATAACAAGCTGTATTTTATAGGTGTGTACATTTGTTGAGTTTATATAAGATTGCTACTATAATGAATGGTCTGTCAATGTTTGCACCAACATGAACTTTATCTTGTATAAAGTGTTATAGTAGATAATGACTTAGGAGTATAAAACCTTACGTTTTTACTTTTCTCAATTATCACAATTAGTATTTAAGCTACAAGTATCTCACAAAACATATACCTAATCATGTGATATCTCTAGTTCTGATTCTGAATAAGATTAAAATAATAAGAAAAGACAATCTCATTTTTGATGGCTGACTTAAGTTTATTTCATATGAAGGAGCTAATGAAATGTATAAAACAAATTCTAGCTACTAGCAGAAATAAATAAGAATTTATTACTATCAATAGAAATTTTCATTTCCATTTAATGAAATCTGATAAAAGACACTTTAATGTGATTTGAAATTGTTTAGTATATTACTATATATTAAGGTATTGGAATATGTTTAATGATGAATTTATCATATATTCTAAACCCCTACCATGGGCTGAGAGGGTAGAACAAAATCAGGTCAAGGTATGAAGGTTTATAATTCCAAATGGTTTCTGAGTAATGCAGTTACTGTAGTCTGAAAGGTGAATCAAAAGGTTCTTCATTTTGGATAGGACTTTTCCTTTCGCTCTTCTATGGTTGAATTCCCCATTATTTTGCAGTTTATTATTTTTGGCAAATGGAAATGACTTGTAAAAGTAGCAGAGATATTTCAGGCATGAGCTTGAGTCAGTTTTAATCAAGTGCAGGTATGACTGGAGGCCTTCTCACTACTGTGGCTCTTGTAGACCATAACATGTTCTCTTTGTGTTGACGAATTTTCACATGCAGTTAACTTTTTCTTCTCAAATAATAGCAGAGGTGATTTTTCTATCTCAAGTCACAAATGTTTGGTTCAAGAAAAACTTGTTATACTTGGAGCAATAGATGTACAGAATTGAAAAATCATGGCCTTGTAAAATTAAAGGAATCATGCGCACAGCTAATTATGGTATGTAAAATTCACACATATTTGAGTCAGGGTAACATGTTGCCCTATAATTATTTCCCCCAAAAAATCATGTGTTGAAGCCATAACCTCTCATGTGACTGTATTAGAGACAAGGTCTTTAAGGTGATTATTAATTTCAAAAGAAGTCATATTGGTATATCCCTGAACCAAGAGAACAGATTCCCTTCTAAGGAAAGGAAAATATCCCAAAGTTTCCTGTCTACCATGTCAGAACATACAGGGAAAATGGTAGTCTATAAGTATAAAAATGAATCTTGTGCAATGGGGGTTGGATATGATATAAATCATTCTAGAGAAATTCGTTGTGATATGTAGAATGGTGTTCCCTCCCAAACATGTGTGCATCCTGGTAGTTCTTCCCAGTTCCTTAAGGTTTGTTGTGAGGAGAGAGGGGAAGGTTTCAGACAGCGCTGTTATCCTTGGAGATGCATTTATCAGGAAACTGATGGAAACATGCTATGAGGGACAGATCTGAGGATTTGGAGTGGGGATAATTTTGACCTTTATGAAAGCCACTTAGAGGGTTAAAAAAAAACAATGCATTCTTTTTTTTAACTTTTATTTAATGAATATAAATTTCCAAAGTACGATTTATGGATTACAATAGCTTCCCCCCAATACCGTCCCTCCCACCCACAACCCTCCCCTTTCCCACTCCCTCTCCCCTTCCATTCACTTCAAGATTCATTTTCGATTATCTTAATATACAGAAGATCAGCTTAGTATACATTAAGTAAGGATTTCAACAGTTTTCTCCCACACAGAAACATAAAGTGAAAAATAATAGATGATTTTTTTTAAATGATGATGAAATCAGATCAGACCTATTGTCATGTTTAATCCCAGTGAGAGTCAAGTTGGGAGTTGATAGTTTCTTTTTTTTTTTTTTTTTTTACAGAGGATCAGTTTAGTATGCATTAAGTAAAGATTTCAACCGTTTGCACCCCCATAGAAACACAAAGTGAAATATATTGTTTGAGTACTCGTTATAGCATTAAATCTCAATGCACAGCACATTAAGGACAGAGATCCTACATGAGGAGTAAGTGCACAGTGACGCCTGTTGTTGACTTTACCAATTGACACTCCTGTCTATGGCATCAGTAATCTCCCTATGCTCCAGTCATGAGTTTCCAAGGCTATGGAAGCCCTCTGAGTTCTCTGACTCTTATCTTGTTTAGACAAGGCCATAGTCAAAGTGGAGGTTCTCTCCTCCCTTCAGAGAAAGGTACCTCCTTCTTTGAAGACCTGTTCTGTCCACTGGGATCTCACTCACAGAGATCTTTTGCCAGAGTGTCTTGGCTTTCCATGCCTGAAATACTCTCATGGGCTTTTCAGCCAGATCGGAATGCCTTAAGGGCTGATTCTGAGGCCAGAGTGCTATTTAGGACATCTGCCATTCTATGAGTCTGCTGAGTATCTCACTTCCCATGTTGGATCACTCTCCCCTTTATTTATTCTATCGGTTAGTGTTAGCAGGTACTAGACATAAAACAATGCATTCTTACCTCACTTTCCAGGTCCATCCTCTTGTCTCTTATAATTACCTGAGAGATCCAATAATTCTCTGACATTTTGTAATGATCAATCTGTTCAACTTCTGTTATCCATAAAAAAGTTAATGATTATAAATTTTGTATTATGAGAGAACAATACCAGTGCTTTTTTTTTTTTGAAAGGCAGAGTGGACAGTGAGAGAGAGAGAGACAGAGAGAAAGGTCTTCCTTTGCCGTTGGTTCACCCTCCAATGCGGCCTGTGCACCGCGCTGATCCAATGGCAGGAGCCAGGTATTTATCCTGGTTTCCCATGGGGTACAGTGCCCAAGCACTTGGGCCATCCTCCACTGCCTTCCCGGGCCACAGCAGAGAGCTGGCTTGGAAGAGCGGCAACCGGGACAGAATCTGACGCCCTGACCGGGACTAGAACCCAGTGTGCCGGCGCCGCAAGGCGAAGGATTAGCCTAGTGAGCTGTGGCGCCGGCTATGTTTTTTCTTTTTTTTATCTGATAAGTTATTTCTCGTTTCTGAATGATGGAATCCTTACTGCTTCCCAAGAACCTGTTAATTATGAGAAATGCATGGAGGTTCCTTCTTTGGAATTCAGGTTAGAGCAGATACATTCAACACTCAAGGCCAACTTTTTAATCCACACTTTTGACAACAGAAAAATTTTCTTTGTGCTAATGTTCTACATATAAATCAATCCTGACTTTTAGAATATTAACATATAGTCAATCACAAAGAGAACACACTCAGAAGGCAGGTGACAGTCTGAATGTATGAGCTTCCATCTCTATGAAGTCATTAGCATATCCTGCAATTATTATTTTACAGTTTCTTTTTTGTCTTTTTATTAATATAAAGAGAACAGATTTCATACATTTGTTTTTGAAAAGAAATAATTTTAATCTGCTTTATATTCACAAGCATAACATAATTTTCAAAAAGTAAAAAATAGAAAGACCACCATTCCATGGGAGTATCAACAAGAGCCAAAATCAACAATCAAATCAAAAAACATTAGTTTTTTTCCTAGATTTTTTTGTATTCTATATTAATGACCACTTATCAGAGAAAACATATCATGTTTGTCTTTTGGGGAATGGCTTGCTTCACTAGGCAGAATGGCTTCCATTGCATCCATTAGGTATTACAGAAACTGTTTCCCCACATCCTTACCAGCATTTATCATTTTTTGATTTTTGGATGATAGCCATTGTAACTGGGGTGAGGTAAGACCTGACTGTGATTTTGAGTTGCATTTCCCTGATTGCCAGAGATCCTGAGAATTTTTTCATGCGTCTGAATTGTACATTTGTATTTCATCCTTTGAAAAATGCCGGTTCATAGGGCCAGCACCATGGCTCACTTGGCTAATCCTCCTCCTCCATATGGCATCCCATATGGGCACCAGGTTCTAGTCCTGGCTGCTCCTCTTCCAGTCCAGCTCTCTGCTGTGGCCCAGGAAGACAGTGGAGGATGGCCCAAGTGCTTGGGCCCTGCACCCACATGGGAGACCAGGAGGAAGCACCTGGCTCCTGGCTTTGGATCAGTGCAGAGCCGGCCATATTGGCCATTTGGAGAGTGAACCAATGGAAGGAAGACCTTTCTCTCTGTCTCTGTCTCTCTCTCTCTCTCTCTCACTAACTCTACTTGTCAAATAAGTAAAAAAAAATAAAACAAAATAAAGAAAAAGAAAAATGCCTCTTCATGCCTTTATCCATTTCTTAATTAGATTATTTTATTGTTGTTGGGTTTCTTGAGCTGGATATTAAACCTTTATCAGGGCTGGTGCCACGGCTCACTAGACTAATCCTCCGCCTGCGGTGCCAGCACCCCAGGTTCTAGTCCCAGTCGGGGTGCTGGATTCTGTCCTGGTTGCTCCTCTTCCAGTCCAGTTCTCTGCTGTGGCCTGGGAAGGCAATGGAGGATGGCCCAAGTACTTGGGCCCTGCACTTACATGGGAGACCAGGAGGAAGCACCTGGCTCCTGGCTTTGGATCAGCACAGAGCCGGCCATATCAGCCATTTGGGGGTGAACCAAGGGAAGGAAGACCTTTCTCTCCGTCTCTCTCTCTCACTGTCTAACTCTGCCTGTCAAAAATAAAAATAAAGCACTTCAAAAAAAAAAAAAACCTTTATCAGTTGCCTAGCTTGCAAATATTTCTCCCATTCTGTTGGATGCCTATTCACTTTGCTGAGTGTTTCCTTTGCAGTGTAGAAACTCCTTAGCTTGGTGTAATCCCACTTGTCTATTTTGTTTTTATTGCCTAGGCTTCTGAAGTCTTATCCAAGAAGTTATTGAATATACCAATATCTGCCAGAGTTTCCTTGATGTTTTCCTCTATTAATTAGATGGTATTAGGTCATAGATTTGGATCATTCATCTGTTTTGAGTTGATTTTTGTATAATGTGTAAGGTAGGGATCTTGTTTTATACTTCTACACACATGGATCCAATTTTCCCAACACTGTTTGTTGAAAAGACTGTCCTTTCCCCAAGGATTGATTTTAGCTTGTGTGGGGACCCATGAGCCGGCCATGGGCCCACATGCTAAGGCTTAGCTTGCTGACCATTGGCAATAGTTACTGCTGTGTGGATGTTTATGGTTTCTGTTGAGCTGTGATATTGGGACCGTTCCATAGCCCCAGGCTAGAGTCAAAACAACTATGGCCTTGGGACTTCCTGTACTTCTTTTCCCACTGACCAAGGCTGAGAAAACACCAGGTGGAAGCTTGTTGTTAGCACCGGAGTCGCCTGCTATGTGACCAGGAGCTTGATTGGGATGAAGGCACGTGATCACCTTTATGGTTGGACAAGGAGCGCATGGACTGTGCGTGATCAGGCACCCGATTGGAGCGCCACCACATGGACTGCAGCATGGACTAAGCTTACATTACATGCTTCTGCAATGATATACTATATAAGCCGTTCGTGGAATAGTAATGGGAGCTTCCCCTTTCTTTCGGAGCTCCCCTTGCTCAAGGGTTTCTTTTTCTATCCTGTTTAAATAAAAGTCTACTGAAGACCGATAAGCTTGGAGAAGTGTCGTTCCTTTGTGGGCAAGGGAGCGACAAGCTTGTTTGTCCAAGATTAGTTGGTGTAGCTGCATGGATTAAATTCTGGGGTTTCTATTCTAACCCTTAACTACATGTCTATTTGGTACCAATACCAAGCTGTTTTGATTAAAACTGTCCTGTTGTAAGCTTTGAAATCTGGTATTGTAGTACCTCCAGTTATGTTTTTGTTGTTTAAGATCACTTTAACTATTTAGGGTCTCTTTTGTTTCTGTGGTAATTTTAGCATTTTTTTTTTTTTTTAGATCTGAGATGATTGTCATTGATGTTTGATCAGGATCCCATTGAATCTGTAAATTGCTTTGGGTAGTATGGACCTTTTGATTATGTTAATTCTTCCACTCCACAAACATGGAAGATTTTCCCATTTTTCTGTGTGCCTTCTTCTATTACTTTCTTTAATGTTTTATAATTTTCAATCTAGCAATCTTTCAAATTGTTAGCTAAATTTATTCCTGGGTATTTAAAAAATTTTGTAGCTAATTTGAATGGGTCTGATCCTACAAGTTCTTTTTCAGCCATGACATTATTTTAACTTTCAAGTGAAATTTCTCAAGTATCCTCATATGTAGCAAAAAAAAAAAAAAAATCAGAATTGAGGATGCTAAGTAGCTGAAGAATATTTCACATAAAAATGAAATAGTTGTCTTGATAAGACACATTAGCATGTGTATTTCACTCAGACCCATAATCTGCAGGTAAGGACTCTTTCACATTAGCCAGTCTTCCAGATAACATCTAGGAAGGACTTTTTTTTTCACTATATAAAAGTGAGCCATCTAACAATTGCCTCTAAGGAAATATAGTATTATTATTCTGAAAATGCTCATTGTTTAGAATTCTTTTTTTTTCATAGCCCTTAGAACTTTCATGATTTTGACTAATTACCCATTTTAATAACTTTGCCAGTTAACTTTTTCTGTGTGTTTATATACTTGAAAAAGTAACTTTAACTAAAGTAAAGGATTTTACTATTTCCAGAATCTACTCTATCAGCAATAACATCAGATGGATGAGAGCTAATCTCATTAATATTAATGGATTTTTTCAAGTAAATCTCATCATGTATCACTGATGGACTATAGGTTGGTGAAAATTCGAAAAGTCTCATGTGCCAAGGACATTAGCAAAAATGGAAGTTGTCATAGGATAGAAATCTTATTAAAGCATGATCTTCTCAATTATGTTCACTGATTTAAAGATTTAGTTGTCATCATTTCACAGAGAAATTTGACAAACTGAAATAGATTCAAGAACTTTTTTCACTTTGTGCAAAGTAATATACCTAAAGTTGGAAAAAAAATCACTGAATATATATTTTGGCATAATGTACTATTTCTGACAGTAGTCTAAATTCTTTTAAAATTATTTTTTCAGCACTGTTTATTTATTTAAATCAGGCAGAAAACATTGATTAAGTGATTATTCCTCTCCATAGTTCAGTCTAATGTCTGGGTAGCTACCATTTGTTGCGTTTCAAGAAGCCTCAAGGCCATAGAATAGGCAGAAGCTGTAGCAATAAGAGTGAAAGTGATATTCCATCACAGTAATAGTGAATTTTCATCAACAAGCAAAATTAGCCTTAGGGTGAGCAGGGCAGAGGACCTGTGAGAAAGCTCATATTTCAAACTAAGAATTTTAAGTCTGGAGCGCAAATACACCAATGCATGTGTCAACTAAAAATATTTTATTGGCAATATGTAGGAAGCAATGGTAGCAAAGAGTAAAGGATTAATCATTCTTTCTTTTTTAAAATATTTATTTATTTGAAAGGCAGAGTTACAGAGAGGTAGAGGCAGAAAGAAAGACAGAGAGGGAGAGGGGTCTTCCATCAGCTGGTTCACTCCCCAGATGGTTGCAATGGCCACAGCTGTGCCGATCTGAAGCCAGAAAATTTTTCTGGGTCTCTCACATGTGTGCAGGGGCCCAAGGACTTGGACCATCTTCCACTGTTTTCCCAGGCCATATCAGAGAGCTGGATTGGAACTGGAGCAGCCAGGACTTGAACCGCACCCATAAGGGACGCCGGCACTACAGGCAGCTGTTTTACTCACTATGCCACAGCACTGGCCTCATCCATTTCTTTTTATTCCCTTCTACATAATCCATGATTGTTTTTGTTCTGAATCAAAACATTTCATATAATCGTTATTAAGCATCATTTCAACTGCATTATATGTATTTTATATTGAATATAAGAAATATGTTGATGAAAGCAAATCAGATGAGAAAAATAAGATGGACTAGAAAGGGAAAATTGATTATTTGCTATTAATCCATGAAATTTGCAAATTAATACATCAGGTCCATCAAACTCATCAGTTCCATCAAACCCAACAGAGCTTACAGGATATTACGCTGAATAGTTTTAATTTACTCATTTATGTATTCAACGCATTTGCAAGCACCTTCATTTAGTACCTATTATGTATGATAACAGGTAGAGTGGGCATTAGAGGTGAAAGTACACATAAAATACGAGTAAATGTTTAACAGAAAATATATTAGGGTAAGTGCTGAGGAGAAAATGACAGGAGCATACGTCAAAGAGAAGTACCTAGACAGAGACTGGGCGGAATGAGTGAAGCCTTCAGGATGAAGTAACATCTAAGAAGTGAGGAATGTGTACGTGGTGGAAAGATGGCTGTGGCATTGGTGAATGGGGACCTCTAGACAGAGGAACAGGGACTACACTGGAGAGTGCATATTATTCAAATGAAGATTTTCATGTTTAAAACATTGTAAAATACCGGTAGCCATTCAGACTACCCTTTAGGAAAGCAATGCAGTTCTGGGATTTCAAATTCTAGTTAGACTAGTATATAAAATATTCAGTAATTAAATTCAGTGTTTGAGTTTTAGAAGTATTTTACATTAAAAGGCATTTTAGAAGTATTTTACATTAAAAGACTGTAGCATGGGCCACAACACTTGGGTCTCCCATATGTGCAGACTAGAGCTAGGGCACTGAGGCAGACGGACATTTAAACGCTCAGTTGTATAAGGCCTCTTTATTAGCTTTTGTTTGCACTGCAGTGGAAGTTCGTTCAATTATTCAGAACTTGTCCCATCGGCACATTCATCAGTAAAAATGAACAAGACCCTAAAATCATTTAAAATTAGCATTTAGTGACACAAAAAGGAAGGCATTAATTGGTAGAAGGATGCTTTGCATGCAGAATGCATAAGGTCCATTACCTTTAATTTATTGCCATGGGAAGTTCCATACTGACCCTCCTGGGAAGGTAAAGCTGTCATTCACTTACCTCAGACACAGGGCATGGGACAACTTATAATTTCCAGACCACCGGAGGGTCATTCTGAATATCCTCAGAGCAGTTTCTGCCATTCTCTAGTGGCTAAAATATAAAGCATTATCCATGTATCATGGGTATACTCGGGATTTCCAAGCCAGTAGTAGGTGGGAAGTATCATTATGTTCTTAAATCTGTATTTGAAATATATGAGGTTTGTTTCATTTTTATAAATATAAAATAAAATATAAAAAAGAAAATTCTGATAGGTCAAATATGTTTTTATTTAGTTTTCAATTGGAATGAGACTTGGTGTTACTGAGTTTCTCAAGTTCTCTAAGTCATCAATGACAAATTGTAGATATATTTAGATATAAAGCAAATTGAAGTCTTATGGTACTTATTACTTGTTATAGTTATTGATTTTAAACTACAGATGTACTGTCTCCTGGATAAAAAGGCTTAGTTTTTAAACAACAACAAGTAAACTTACTTAGTAGAGTATTTCTTTTTTTTAATAAAAATAAGTCTATGTTTAAGATTTATTTTATTTACTTGAAAGGTAGAAAAGAGAGACAGACAGACAGACAGAGGTCTTCCATCATCTGATTCACTCCCCAAATGACCTCAGTGGCCAGGGCAGGGCCAGGCCAAAGCCAGGAACGCAGAACTTCTTCCAGGTCTCCCACATGGGTGCAGGGGCTCCAGGACTTGAGCCATCTTCCACTGTTTTTCCATGTGCATTACCATGGAACTGGATCAAAAGGGGAGTAGCCAGGACTTGAACCGACACCCATATGGGATGCCAGCTCTGTAGGCAGCAGCCTTACCTAGTAGGCTACAATGCGGGCTCCATTAGATTTCTAGAGCTAGTGTTTTAGGGCTGACTTGAAACTAGCTACAACAAAATTTTTTTTTAGCTTATTTAAGGTGTGGTGCAGTGTGGAAATACAGAGAGATCTTCCATCTACTAGTTCACTCCCCAAATGGCCATAGTAGCCAGGTGTGAACCAGGCCAAAACCAGGAGCCAAGAACTCCATCTAGGTTTCCCACATGGGTGGCAGGGTCCGAAGTTGTTGGGCTATCTCCTGCTGCCTTCCCAGGTGCATTAGGAAGCTGAACTGCAAGCAGAGCCGCCAGGATGGGAACTGTCATCCAACATGGCATTCTGGCCTCGCAAGCAGCTACTTAAACTGCTGTGCCACAATGCTGCTCTCTACTGTGTTATGTTGAGCAGACTTTTAGCTTTGTTCCTTTAAAAATATTTTCTTTAAATTTTTCCCTGAAATAATTAAGTATTGAAAATAAGTGAAGCAGAAACTAACAATTTTATACATAACACACAGATATATATAAATATTTATATATTATGCGAATTATGTAAAATATGCCTATTAATAGTTGGGTTTTATGTATAATACACACATTTTTTTCTAATCATAAATATATTCTGGCTTTAATTGATAAGGAATTTTTAGCCTTAAATTATGTCCATCCTTCTGGGTCATAGTGTTTAATAATATCAATGACACCCATTTATAGTAGTATTCATAGACATTCTTCTATTAAATTCTGACAAATGCAATGGATAAAATATGCAGATGCCTATATAGTGTTAATAGGATACATATCCTTTCCATCAGTGTTGTTTTCCATCAGGGACAGGAAATATTACCTGATGTGCTTGTTGAGTTTGATCTGTAACAAACCTTTCTAGAATGAATGATTTGCATGGCAGTTCCTGGTCACTGACAAAGTCCTTGACCTGGGGAGAATTATCTAACAGTTAAAATAAAAACCATAGATTTTGATAATATGAAATAATTTTATTTATTGGATAATTTTAATATAAATTTTCAAATATATTAAAAATGAACTGGGGCTGGTATTGTGGTACAACAGGTACCACCTGTGATATTGGCATCCTGTATGGGTGCCGGTTCATGTCCCAGCTGCTCCATTTCCGATCCAGCTCTCTGCTAATGCACCTGGGAAAAGTAGCTGAAGATGGCCCAAGTGCTTGGGCCCCTATCACACAATTCAGAGACCTGGAAGAAGGTTCTGTTCTGGCTCTGGCCTGGCCCAACTGTGGCCAAAGTGGCCATCTGGGGAGTAAAATAGCAGATAGAAGATCAGTCTCTCTCTCTGCCTCTGACTCTGCAACTCCGACTTTTAAAATAAATGAATAAAAAACCTTTAAAAAATGAACTTAGCTTTTAATGTATTATCTTTCCTCATTCTTTGCTTTGTTCCCTCATGCAATGTTTTATGTAAGTATGTGTTTATTTAGTAATGTAATGGTAGACTTATTCTAGAGTTTGGTTTATTTTACCTGTAAGTGTTAATAGTTACCTATATAAACTTAAGCTTTGATAAATAGAATACAAAATGAGAGAACAGAAGCAGCTAGAGTCTGGAAAAGCCAAAACCAGTGGGATGACATAAATATAAGAAGTAGAACTCATGCAAGAAAAATCACCATTACCTGTTCCTCCGAACATGGCAGTGGAAGACAGGAATTCAGCAAGCACAGATTATATATCGGGGTGTCGTTTTTGTAGTGCTTCAAATATGTAATTAAAGTTCATTCAATAAGGCTTTGAAATGAGTTCTGCTTTGATGTTGAACATTATTAAGGGAATAATAACAAGACACTGGTTGTGGATTCAGAGCGAGTGCATCACTTGTACCAGTGGTCACCACACAGGGGAGCAGCCTGAAGAGCCCAGGAGCCGAGGCACATCGGAATTCAGAGTTGGTAGTTGCAACTTGATAGTAGCATGAATGTTATGTATTCCTTTAAAATTTTGTTCTTGGTAATTATCACAGCTGGCTTAGTAGTTTTTTTAAAAAGACTTTTATTTATTTATTTGAAGGGTAGAATTACAGACAGTGAGAGGGAGAGATAGAGAGAAAGGTCTTCCTTCCATTGGTTCACTCCCCAAATGGCCACAATGGTCGGAGCTATGCTGATCTGAAGCCAAGAGCCAGGTGTTTTCTTCCCAGTCTCCCATGCAGATGTAGGGGCCCAAGTACTTGGGCCATCTTCTGCTGCTTTCCCAGGACATGGCAGAGAGATGGACTGGAAGAGGAGCAGCCAGGACTAGAACCGGCACCCATATGGATGCCAGTGCCACAGGCAGAGGATTAACCTACTGCACCATGGCACCGGCCCCTGGTATAGTGGTTTGGTCGTTTCTTATCAATCTCCCCCCCCAACAACACTCATGCAAAATAATTTACATGGATTTTTGGTAATTTTGATATTTTTGAACTTTTGTATATTTCATATGTTTTTGTTTTTATAAAGAGAAGTCATAGAAAGTTATGAAAGTCTCTTATTTTTATGTGTTATTGTAGTATCTGTGCTTATAATTCGTTCTTATGAGCTAAAGGGTTCAGAAAAGAACATAACTCCTACTGTGTGTATTCAGTTAGCAGTCTTCAGAATAATTTTATTTTCCTTCTTATTATCTATGGATGATTTAAGGATGTTGAAAGAAAGTGAAAAAGAATAAAAAAGAATTATTAATTTTTATGTAATATGCCTTCTACAGCAGCTAAGAAAATATTCTGGAGTCTACATTCAGATAGGCATAAATTATTTTTTAATTCAAATTTGATTACATTCTCAACCTAAGCTGTCGAGAAAGAAAGAGAGAGAGAAAGATCTTTATAATGAATGAATGTGATATCATATTGAAATGTGAATTAGAATCTCAACAATATTTGAGTATAAAATATGAGGATAAAATACTTGCAGCCTACATTTTTTAAGACAGAAATTTCTAGTATGTATCATAGTGATTGTTCTTTCATAAGGTATACTACTGATCTATGAAATTAATGAGCAAAAAGGAGGAGAAAAACCACACAGTCTCTTGGCTCAAAATATTCTAATTATATAGAGAGCTGCCTGGAACAAGTTCACATTACACTATTAAAGGCTAATCTTAAAGTGCTACAATAGAGATAAGTAAAGGTTCCTTAGGTTACTCATGTTTTAAATCAAAAGGTGAAGTCTATTTTAATAAATTTAGTAATCTCCGCAGTTACACAAAGATGAAATTTAAAGACATTTTACCATTATATTAATCTACCAAACATTTGAAGCCTAACTATACAGAAAAATTATGTGAATCTCTTTTTATATTATTATTTATTCTGCCCGTAATAGGTAGCAATCGCTCTGACATGTTGGTCCCAACAAAGACAAAGCTGAGTCCAAGTTGTGCGTGAAGTCTCATGCAGGGTAGACGCTGGAGGCTTCTAGTCACACATGTCAGAAAGCGTGGACAGTGTAAGAGACACACAGGTGAGAAGACACCAGCTGAACAGAGACCATGTATCAGGAAGAGTGGAGTCAGTTACCGAAGCTCTGCAGTTCTGAGGGCTTGCACACAAAACAAAGCACTCAGAAGGCAAACCCAAGTCTGACTGGGATTTATGCAAAAAAAGGAAAAACAGAGACTACCAAGTTCATGCATAGTTAATACAAATCAGAGATGACAGTACAGAGTTAATACAGAATGAAGTGCATCTTGGGTTGACGAGAATCAAAATGGGGGTAACTAAACATGTCTTAGAACTAGTTCAGGGCCGGCGCCGCGGCTCACTAGGCTAATCCTCCGCCTAGCGGCGCCGGCACACCGGGTTCTAGTCCCGGTCGGGGCGCCGGATTCTGTCCTGGTTGCCCCTCTTCCAGGCCAGCCCTCTGCTGTGGCCAGGGAGTGCACTGGAGGATGGCCCAAGTGCTTGGGCCCTGCACCCCATGGGAGACCAGGAAAAGCACCTGGCTCCTGGCTCCTGCCATCGGATCAGTGCGGTGCGCCGGCCGCAGCGCGCTGGCCGCGGCGGCCATTGGAGGGTGAACCAACGGCAAAGGAAGACCTTTCTCTGTCTCTCTCTCTCACTGTCCACTCTGCCTGTCAAAAAATAAAAATAAAAAAAAAAATTAAAAAAAAAACAAACAAAAAAAAAAACAAAACTAGTTCAGGCAACATGTGTTTATAGGCTATGATGCAACCCACTTTAAAAACCCAAAGATTTCATTGTATGTGTCTTTGGGAGAGAGCACACTGATTCCATGAGATCCATAAGACCATACTCCTTGTGGTTGTTTGTTTTCTGCTTACTTGTGTCTTTTTGGTATGTGCCAACTGAGTTTTACTAAGGTTCTAAGACATGCTACCTAGTTCTGTGGAGTAGCAGCTGATGATGAAAAAAATATAAACACTCATTTGAAGCTAGGAGTAAAGCAACAGAATTTATGAATGCATGGTCATCCCCTGGTATTTTGTTCTGGGACAATTTTATTAGTAGTTTGTAAGATGGAGATGAGGACGATGGACACTGAGAAATCATCCCCACCATCTCCAAATACAGAAATATCAGGTAATTACTGATTTTCTTTAACTGCAGGGTTCAGGAAGCTTCTGTATATACCCTTTTCAGAACATATATGTACAAGTTTTTGAATTGAATACTGTTATTAATCTTGTGAAGAGTAAAGAACTTTTGAGAACTTGAAGAAATGTCTATGAACTTGATCCTAGAAAACAGGACTAACTCACATTGCTCTCTCTATTAGATGCTTCCACGGTCAGCAGATGAAGCAATTATGTTTGCCCACCACAAATGACACTAATACGGAGGAGGTAAAAATTGAATTCAAGAGGCAGGCACTGTGTCACAGCAGGTTAAGCTGTTGTAAATAAAACTGGCATTCAGTATGGGCACCAGTTCCAGTCCCAGCTGTTCCACTTTCCATCCAGCTCTCTGCTATGGCCTGAGACAACAGAAGAGGATGGCCCAAGTGCTTGGTCCCCTGCACCCACATGGGAGACCAGGAGGAAGCTCCTTGCTCCTGGTTTTGGCCTGGCCCCGCTCTGGCCATTGTGGCCATCTGGGGAGTGAAACAGCAGATGGAAGATCTCTCTCCTCTCTCTGTCTCTCCCTTTCTTGCTGTAACTCTAACTTTCAAATAAATCAATATTTTAAAAATTAAATTCAACAATTAAAACTAGAAAGATTATGTGATTATGGCCCCAAAGTGAGCATCAAATGGGACTTTGGTTCTGTCAGGGGAACCCTCCTATCAATACTGACCCATCCTGTTGTTGGTGTAATGTGTCTACAAACAGCCTAGGAAATGCTGGCTCCTGCTCTTTTGATCAAACACAACTTAGATTTCGGAACATAAACCTAACAAACTAGTACACTTTTGTGAAAGAGCATTCTCATTTTATCAGAACTAATTTTTCCTCCACGATTTCTGGATATAGTCTACATCTAACTGAACAGCCTATGGCAACAGGATTGCTGCATGAAACATTTCTTTGAGAGACAGGGACTGTTGAGGTAAAGCATGTTCCACAGTTAAAGCAGTTTGTAGAAAGACAAAAGTGGCAGACTGTCTTTAACAGGGCAGAAGAGAAACGTGCAATGGACCTTCTTATCTTGTGAAATTCTCTCATTGTGAAAAGAGTGTTTGAGGAAGACAGAACTCGAAAGCCAAAGTCAAGTGACTTTGTTTTATTAATAACTGTAAATTGAGTTGAAAGAATGTGTGATTCCTCAAGAATAAGCAACTATTCGATGAAATAAATTTAGCATTTAATTCATTATACCATATTTTATTTTATTTTTATTTTTTTATTTTTTGGACAAGCAGAGTGGACAGTGAGAGAGAGAGACAGAGAGAAAGGTCTTCCTTTACCATTGGTTCACCCTCCAATGGCTGCTGTGGCCCGCATGCTGTGGCCGGCGCACCAAGCCAATCCAAATCCAGGAACCAGGTGCTTCTCCTGGTCTCCCATATGGGTGCAGGGACCAAGCACCTGGGCCATCCTCCACTGCACTCCCGCGCCACAGCAGAGAGCTGGACTGTAAGAGGGGCGACTGGGACAGAATCTGGTGCCCCGACCCGGACTAGAAGCCGGTGTGCCGGCGCCACAGGCAGAGGATTAGCCTAGTAAGCCACGGCGCTGGTCTATACCATATTTTAACAAAATACTTAACAAAAGTCTTTGTAAAGAATTTATTTATTTATTTATTTGAACGTTTGAGTGACACATAGAGAGGGGGATCTTCCCTCCCCAAGTCACTGTCATGGCTGCACCCTGACCAGATTACATCCAGGAGCCTGGGATTCTGTGCACCACGTGCACACGGTTGGCCCCTTCCGTGGTTTTCCCAGGTGCATTAGCAGGGCTAAATTGGAAGAGGGGCAGCCAGGACTAAAATGGATTCTCCAATATGGGATGACTGTATAGCAGGTGGTGCACTATTGATTAGATTTGCATAAGGAGTAAGATGGTTTGCAAACTAATTTTTAAAATCTTTGTATTTCTCTGGTCAGTACTATTCATTCATCATATATTTATTAATAATCAACTGTGAAGAAGCTGCTCACAATGGTGCTAACATTACTACTTTCTTTTATTTTTCTCTTTTAACTGATGCACTAAATGCCCCTTCTTTCCTTCCTCCTTCCGTCCTCTTTCCTTTTATTCTTCCTTTCCTTTCTCTTTTCCTTCCTTCCTTTTAATTTTCTTTTTTCTTTAAAGGTTTATTTATTATTTGAAAGTTAGAGTTACATAGAGAAAGAAGGAGAGGAAGAAAAAGAGAGAGAGGTCTTCCATCCATTGGTTCACTCCCTAATTGGCCACAGCGGCCAGAGCTGCGCCAATCCGAAGCTGGGAGCAAGGACCTTCTTCTAGGTCTCCCACACGGTTGCAGGGGCTCAAGGACTTGGGCCATCTTCCACTGCTATCCCAGGACATAGCAGAGAGCTGGATGGAAAGTGGAGCAGCCAGGTCTTGAAATGATGGCCATATGCGATAGTGGTGCTTCAGGCCAGGGCGTTAAACCTCTGCGCCACAGCGTGGGCCCCCAACATTACTACTTTCATAGTTTATGAAAGTACTTCATTCCTCATAATTAGAAGAGTTTTTTGGTGTTTTGTCATAAAAATTTTAAAATGAACCTAGATTAGTATAAAGGATAAAAGAGGAATTCTCATGCTCACAAAACTGAGTTTTACCAAATAAGAACTCATGCTCAATCTTTCTTCATCTATATGCTTTCCTATTTCTCCTGTTCCTGTATATGCATATCCCATACTTTTTCTATTTTATCTGTTAATACTTCAGTAATCGTTGGCAAAATTTAAGCTTTCTCGTATGGGTACATTTTGTACAAAACCCCTTCATCATTGCCATACCTAAAATCTTTTGACTACCTGTTAGTATCATGAAATACCTTGTAAGGTACAACATTACAATGTTAAAAAAATGTCCTATGGAAAATAAAAAATACATAAATCCCAAAAACTGATTGAGTCTCTCGAAGTATAAAACCTTTGTAATATATAGATCAGGAAATTGAATGTTCCTGGAGTACCGGAAGTCTCCCCCCGCCCCCCCCTTTTTTTTTTTTTTGACAGGCAGAGTTATAGACAGAGAGAGAGAGACATAGAGAAAGGTCTTCCTTCTGTTGATTCACCCCCCAAATATCTGCGACACCAGCACGCTGCGCCGATCCGAAGCCAGGAGCCAGGTGCTTCCTCCTAGTCTCCCATGTGGGTGCAGGGCCCAAGCACTTGGGCCATCCTCCACTTCCCTCCTGGGGCATAGCAGAGAGGTGGACTAAGAGGAGCAACCAGGACAGAACTGGCGCCCCAGCTGGGATTAGAATGCTGGGGTGCTGGGGCCGCAGGCGGAGGATTAGCGTAGTGAGCCACAGCGCCGACCCAGAAGTCTTCTCCTGCCCATGTCTAACTGAAGCATCTGTCCTGACTTCTAATATCCTGGATTAGTTTTGGGTTTGATGTTAATGGAATCATTAGTGCACCTACTGTTGCATCTGTCCCATTGTACTTAATGTTACATCCATGGCATTAATCCATTTTATTGCATGTAGCTGTGGTTCATTCATTCTCAGTGTTCTGCATCATGCCCCTATGTATCACAATATATTTGTCCTGTCTGTCAGTTCCATGTGGAGTCACATTGGAACCTTGGGATAAAAGAAAAATCAGTAATATGGACTCTGACTTCAATGTAAAATTTTGTATTTTATTCATTACAGTTTCTTGCATTAATTTTGATTTTAAAATTTTTGTTTGTTATTACTTATCTTGATTTTGATTTATGTGGTAGCCCCTGCGTGCTTCTGAGGTTTAAGCTGGACTTATCTTATTCCAGATTCAGTGCTGTTTCTATCTACGGACATGGGAGGTGTATCGTGAATTATTTGTGGCATTTGTCAGTAGTATTGGGGTGAAGCTACCACACATGTTTTCTGGTGAAGACATTCAAGCATTTTTATTAAACAAAGATATACTTAGAAATCAAATTCTAGCCAAATTTATGTGCTGGTGGTAGATGTGTTCTTCCATTCACAAGCACACAATATCTGGATGTCTAATGATTTTTATTAGCAGCCTTTGACAATTGTGCCATTATTTTATCAGAAGTTGTGAAATATCCTAATGTTAGCATCCCTTCTTAATTTCTTAGGCAAAACGCGTCTACAGGGAGAAAGATTGTGTACTTTATGTTTTGATTTTATAATAGTTTTAATATAAAAATATGACAATGCTTATTTTGAAAATAAAGCATTACATTACTAGAATTCTACAGTGGTGAAATTATTATTTGATTGTTGGAAAAATGCATTTAAACATATATGACCAATTTTGACCTGTGACATTTACTTTCCTTAGTGAAGCTAAAGTCATTCCAGCTTTGCTGTTAGGAGCTGGAAACTGAGAAGAGCCAGTGGTGTGGTCAGTTTGCATGATCACTTTAAGGATGGTAAGTTTTAGAACCGACTTGACAATTCCCAGATCCAGACCTGGAATAATTTCTAATTTTTGCAAAAGAAAAAAAAAAACCTTCATTTTTAATTTATCAGTATCTTTCATGGTCAGATCAGACCATTCATTCCTGGTTAAGAAATGACCTCAGTGATGCTGTGTCCTTAGAGAGTGTCACTCCTGGAGACACTCACTGTCAGTCTGTCTCATCCTGCTGCTGTGTTCTCTTTTACCCAGTCAGGCTGTTCTGCTTCTAAATTTTGGAGTTTCAGATTATGCAAATATTCTAGGTATCATTTTAGAATATCCTCTAGCTTTAGCAATCATTAATGATTGTTGCCTGAAACAATCTTAGCACTGTGATGGTTACAAAAATATGTTTCCAGACATGAAATCCTTTAACATTACTTAGGTGACAATTGACATTGTACTGTTGGAGGCCATGAGAAACTGTTTATTTATCTGAGTTCTCAGATATTTTCTCCTACTTTTACTTTTAAAATTTCCTTACTTGTATGTTTTACGTGTTGATTTTTGAGGCATTTTGAGCTAATTTCTCTATAAGGTAGTGTTGTGATGAGATTTGGTTATTTTGTTGCTTCTTTGTTGTGATATCTAAATAGCTTCTGCTTACATTATGCTGAGATTTTATGACTTCTGTCATTGAGAGAGACAGGTGAAGGTGTGTAATTTATCAACCTCAGTGTCTCCAGTATGTTCTTTAATGGAGAAATGCTGGAAACATTACAACTGAGATAAGGTACAAGACAAAGTCAACTACTATTATAGTGGTATTAATATTAGCCAATGCATTTAGAATGGATAAATTAATTAAATGAATAATGTGGAAAAAGAAGAAGTAAACTAATCTCTATTTTGAGATGATATGGTAGACACCATAAAACAATAGTAATAATTAATGATAAAAACAAGATATATTTCAAGTAGCAGAATTTAAAATTAATATTCAGAAGTTAATAGCTTTTCAGTTCACAAATAATAAACAATGGCATACTGATAGGAAAAATCTATTTATGGGAGCAGCAAATGATATTAAAGATGAAGATATTTAACATGAAATGTGCAAAAATTATGCAGAAAAGTTTTAACACTTCTGACGAGTACAAAAATAGATGCCAACAAAACAATAATGTGGCATTAAAAAGATGACAGTTGATTTATTAATGTATGCCATCTATGCAGTATTAGAAACAAAAAACAATTCTAGAGAGTAAGTTAAATTCAAGCTAAAGATCTTATGATAAAATAAAAAATATTCAAGAAGTTTTGAAAAACAAATTGATGATGGGGCTAGCTCTAGTCTATAATAAAACAAACTGTACCTTTAACGTTAAGCAGTGAGGTGTAAGTTCACAAATAGACCAACATATTATTAGAAAAGAATAGAAAGTCCAGAAATGAGTCCTTACAATATAATAATTTAGTATGTGATAAAATGGCAGGTTAAACCACTAGGGTAAAGATGGAATTTTTGATGAATAATGCTAGAAGAACTATGTAGACATATTTGTTTCATATCTCCACACCACACACAAAATAAACTCTGAATTAATTAGAGATACAAAAGTATAAAAATTAAAAAGTAGAGGTTGGTGTTTTGGCACAGGAGCTTAGACCGCTACTTGCAATGTTGGCATTCCAAATAGAGTGCCAGTTAAAGTTCCAGCTGCTCTATTGCCAACCCCACTTCTTACTAAAACACCTAGGAAGGATTCAGAGGTGGCCCAAGTACATGGGTCCCTGACTCCTATGCGGAAGGCCCAGATGGAGTCCCAGGCCCCTGGCGTCAGCTTGGCTCAGATATTGCTGTTGTGGACATGTGGGAAGTGATGGAAGACTCATTCATTACTGCCCCTCCCTCTCCATCTCTGTGTTTCAAATTAATAATACTTTAAAAATTAAAAAAGTAAAAAATAAGGCCATCCAAGTGTTATAAGAAACCTGGGTGAATCACTCTTTTACAAAGGGACATTTTAAAGCTGACTCAACAGCTAGCAGCCATGAAAGAAAGTTATGAATTTGATTACATGCAAAATGCAAAAAAAAAAAGTTAATAACAAAGAAAGCCAAAAGATGATTAAGATATTAGCAGATATTTCTAGCCTGTGTTGTTGACAAGTTACTAATAATGGTGATGGAAAATGGAATCAAGAAGCTAATTGTGGGGGCTGGAGCTGTGGCGCAGTAGGTTAATCCTCCACCTGCATCACTGGCATCCTATATGGGCGCCAGTTCTAGTCCCAGCTGCTCCTCTTCCCATCCAGCTCTCTGCTATGTCCTGGGAAAGTAATAGAAGATGGCCTAAGTCCTTGGGCCCCTGCACCCAGGTGGGAGACCTGGAGGAAGCTCCTGGCTCCTGGCTTCAGATCAGCACAGCTCCAGCCATTGTGGCCATTTGGGGAGTGAACCAGCAGACAGAAAACCTGCTCTCTGTCTCTCCCTCTCATAGTCTGCAACTCTACCTCTCAAATAAATAAATAAAAAATCTTTAAAAGAAAAAAGAAGTTTATTGTTGTATAAAATTTTTTTTTGAAATCCCTCCAGGGTTGTTCTTAATATACTTTTTTCATGACATTTTTTAAAATTCCTTATATGTTACAGCCTCTTAAAAAATGAAGAGCAAAATACCCCAAAACACGAGTTGTCAGTTGAAAATGGGTATTGTGTAGATGGTGGCTGAAATATAAAGTTAGGAGATGAAAGGAAATCACCTAGGGAGAGAGTGTAGATAGGAGTTGTGGATGACCGAACCCTGTTGTGTTCAAGTGTGAAGGTGATGGGGAAGTCAGAAGAGATGAATTGAGAAAGAATACCTGGTTAATGAACACATTTGTACATTGTGCATTCTTCTCCACACTTTGTCAAGAAATGGCATGGAAGTGAATCTTATAACATCATGAAGACATGAGAAAATGCCTTGTTATTTTATTCCATGTAAGCAATCAATCAGTGTCAGTACCAGATTGCTTAATGGTCCACGATGTAATTAAAGGAAATTAGGGATGGGCATTTAGCCTGGAATTAAGGTGCCAGTTGAAATGCTCTACTTTGGAGTACCTAAGTTTGACTCCTAGCTCCAGCTCTTGTCTCCAGAGCCCTACAAATGCAGATTCTGGGAGGCAGCTGCAATGGCTCAAACTGATGACCTCCTGCTAGGACTGCTGTCTCACTCTTGGCTTAGTCCCTGATCCAGCCCAGCCATTGTGAACTGGGGAGTGAACTGATGCACTGGTTAAGAAGTCTGTCTTTCTCTATATATAACTCTGTCTCTGTCTCTGTGTCTGTGTCTCTGTCTCCCTGCTTCTCTATTTTTTAAGTAAATAGATTCATATAATATCTAAAGTATCACCTAACATGGAGATGTAGCAACTTTTGGTGATTTGCTTTTATATACATTATTCTCTGCGAATAATTGACATTTGGAAACATTTAGGAAATTATGATCAAATCTCTGCTGTACAGCACCATGACAGCGAAGCTTTTCAAAGAACAAAATGTATTTCTAAGAGAAAACAAATGGCAAAATCACATGGCTCTACTAAATAGCACATCTTAATTGTGAAGTAGCCCTCTCTCCAAACCATTCAATTCATAAATTGAATGTAGAATATAAATTCGCTGACCAGTGTTTAATCTCTTTTGTCTCATACTTGGTGGCATATATTAAAATGCAGTAAGAATAAGTAAAACCTGCTGAGGCTGACACACTATTTAGAATAACTAAGGAGAGTAAAAGAACATTTTTAATATTAGCTTTTTAATATTAGCTTGAAATGATTGATCGGCAGTGTTAGTGGTGCGCTAGTCATTTAAATATAAAAGCACTTTGAAGTTTCTAATTTTAGAAAGAAATAATTGAGTAAACATTCAAGTTAATCGTGAATACCTTAGTGTCAAGACAGGTAATTCATAATTTTGAAAACCAATGATATAAAGTAAAAAGTAATCTCATCAAGTTGATGTGATTTGTTTCCTGAAACGTTGTTTAGGTGAAAACTAGAGTCACTTTGACACAGATTGAGTCTAGCAAATAAAAGAGAAAAAACTGGCATCCCAGTTTGAAGACATTCGTGATTTGTATCTGTCCTTTCCAAAAGCAGTTCATCACTTCAGAAATGTGTCCTCATATACATCATCTGGAAGGGCTTATAATAACCAAACTCATATACTGAATGTCTGCTATATTTTAGTACCCAATGTTTACTTATCATTTGTTTAAATTGGAAGGTAAAATCAGGGAAGGTATTTATTCCACCTGATAGTTGAAGAATGAGAAGATGGTAGAATCAGAGACAATGTTATATTTACCTTTAAAAGTCTAAGAAATTTGTTTGTAAAAGTACTGTTTTCTCCTGTAACTCCCAAGAGTGTAGAGTCAGTTCCTCTAAAATTTTTATATACAAGTTATATACATGTATATTTCAATGTAGATAGTATTAACAGGTTGGAAGTTCTGTCCTACTTTGCACAGTTTCCCTTCATGTAGGTCTGTCTGTCTTTCTTATTCTACCTGTGTGTGACTAGGGAGGAAGGAATCTTTGCATGCAGTGTTGTTGACTGTTGTATGAGTGTTCTGGAAGGTGAATCCTTTAGGACATGGAAATTGATATAATTTGTGCTTAGAGAAACACTAGAGTACACAACAGTAAACCTGAAATTAGATTATAATTTTGATAGAATGAAGATAATGAAGTTGATCTTAACAGTTTGTTTACTTCTTGGAATGCCAGTTAGAAAGACTGGAGTATAATTTAGAAGACATAGTTTGGAATAACAGAGGATTTCTCCAACATGTCTTGAAACATATATAATGGCAAAATATTTTACACCTAATATAAAAATATTTTCACTAACATATCAATTACAGGGAAGTATCACTGAAAACTTCAGCTTTGCTGATGAGTTTTCCTGCATTAATCCAAATTATACTCTGAAAATAATTAAGGAATCTCATGTGAACTATATTAAATTCTCTGA